TCTTTCCAAATTCCGGTTGCTACCTTTTGTACACCGGCCGCCCTTTGTTCGCGCTGAATACCGTCCAGGGATTCGCGATACGCCCCTTTTTATGCCCGATTTATGTCACCGACGATAAGTTAACGACGAGACAATATGCAACGAGCATTCGATAAAGGGGGTGGAAAGATAGCGTTTTGAGGGAAAGCTGAGTTTACGCGGGACTCGGAAGAGGGTACTGCGAGTGGATGGAAAGGGAGATTTGGGAGAATGGAGAAATCGATCGTATTCGAGAGAGTTTGGTTGCGTATTCGCGAGAGGGTGGGAACAAGGGTGAATAAGCAAAGAAGGATATTGAAAGTCGGAAAAAGGAATGGAAAAGGAAATATAATCTTCTTAAATTTTGAGTTTAAATTAGTAAATGATATTTTTGAGTATAATATTGTTAAGTAGGATGTTTGTTTATGTAGAATTTTGAAAAATACGTCTTATTCCTTTTTAATTATTATGGGGTTGTTAAGGATACTTTACTTATAGGATGTAAAGTGCTTCTTTTATCTGTTCTCTTAGAACTATAACAGGTATGAAGAATTATTTAGAATGGAATTCAAATATATTTTTATGCTTTTCAAAATTTTCAGGATTATTCAACTTCTTCGGGTCTCTAACAAACTCACAAATTTTTGGAAGATTGTAATTTTCAAATTATACAGTCCACCTTAGTGTAATTTAAGTAATATATAAATATATCATTAACCCTCTGTGATGTCATGTCATTATTTAAGGGATAATAAGTTACCTAGCATCCTTTATTTCTTAAAATTGACTTCATTTGCCTATCACTCGATTAGAGTATATTTTAAATATATACTATGACATAAAGCCTGATCTATTTATTAGTAACAATTACTAATTTTTATGTTTCAAATTAAAATAGGGAAGTGAATCATAATATTTTCCCATCGAGATGAAACAAAATTTCGATTAAAGAAGCATAATAAATAATACAGTAATATGATATTTATAATATATTATAATATAATAATAATTAATGAAGCTGATCACAAGACCCATAATTTTCAAACTACTATCTTTCACTCGACTTATTCGACAACACTGATATATTTGTTAGTAACAATTACTAATTTTTATGTTTCAAATTAAAATAGGGAAGGTGAAGTGAATCATAATATTCTCCCCTCGAGATCAGACAAAATTCCGATTAAAGAAGCTTAATAAATAATATAATAATACGATATTTATAATATATTACAACATAATAATAACTAATGAAGCTGATCACAAGATCCACAATTTCCAAATTACTATCTTTCACACGATTCACATGACAACACTGATCTATTTGTTAATAACAATTTTTATATTTCAAATTAAAATAGGGAAGGTGAAGTGAATCATAATATTCACCCCTCGAGATCAGACAAAATTCCGATTAAAGAAGCTTAATAAATAATATAATAATACGATATTTATAATATATTACAACATAATAATAACTAATGAAGCTGATCACAAGATCCACAATTTCCAAATTACTATCTTTCACACGATTCACACGACAACACTGATCTATTTGTTAGTAACAATTTTTATATTTCAAATTAAAATAGGGAAGGTGAAGTGAATCATAATATTCTCCCCTCGAGATCAGACAAAATTCCGATTAAAGAAGCTTAATAAATAATATAATAATACGATATTTATAATATATTACAACATAATAATAACTAATGAAGCTGATCACAAGACTCACGATTTTCAAACTACCTCAAACTGCCAAACTCCACCTTTCGTCACCAAACCATCACTCTGCAACCCCAACAAGACCAACCCCATTTTTCCCGAATCCTCCTGCACTTCAATCTCCCTGATCTCAAAGTAAAATCCCTTCTCCTCGAACCTATCCACCCCATCCCCTTATAAACAAGCGATTAATTACCTTGCTCGGGCCCGGCCTGCACCACCTTTGGCTTGGGCTGGTTAAGTGGCGTCTCTTTTCTCAGAGGCGCGGCTGCAGGCACGAAACCATTGGCCATTTGAGGCGCCGCGACGCCTGATGGTGCCAACCCTTGCACAGCGACATTGGCACGGTCTTCGGTGTACAACAGGAAGCACACGGTGGCCCAGACCGCCGTTGCTAGAATCGCCACTTTAAGCCACAGGGATCTTCTCCTGGGGAAACCCATGCTTCGCTATCAGCCTGGACCTGGCCTTGCGGAATCCACAGCTCTTCGTCAGCTGCTACCTCTTCGTTCTTCGAGCACGGTTCGATTACAGATCGTTCTTCAGCCGGCTCGAGAGGTCGCGTTACCTCAGCAACATCCTCTCAGGCCTTCGGTCTCACTGGCCCGCGTTCGAATTTTCGAATATTCTGTCACGAGTAGGGGGTGAAGTACGGGTTCTTGTTACGATACAGACGACTTAATTGGTCGTTGACTTCGGTCCAAGCTTCGGAGCAGAGAGGTTACGACAGGGTGCGTTGGGGAATCTCGTCGATCCGGCTTGATCGACACCTGATATCACGTGGACGAGACAGGATCATCGTTGGACTTTCATTTTCATCTGATATGCTTCGTTAGTGCTCTCGATGGTGCTTCAGTGAAGATGCTTCGAGTTGGCTATGACGATATGAGTTGATATGTACGTTTTGCAGTTCGGCTTCTTCGAGTATCACCGCATGATTTTGTCTGGAAAAAAGGAAAAGAGATATTTGAAGAATTCTTTTATATATTTGAAAATTCTTAGCAATTTTAATAAATATATTATAAATCTGTTAATTATTTGTCGATGAAATTTACCAAGATCGTATTTAAAACTCGAGTGGAAATTCTTGTTAGAATAAATATTTGAATTTGTGAATTATTATGCTAAATATCCCACAATGAAACTGAGATTAAAGGGTATTAAACATTTGGTAAACTAAATGAGTAATATTTGCATGCTTGGATAATTCCGTATAAATTTTATAACACGACTTATTGTTTGCAATTCATATTAGCAAGGTGGAGTAATTGTAGCAGAAAATTTTCGGCGTGAGTGAAAATACAACAAATAATGGTAATCAGAGATGAAAATACTGGTCAAGTTTCGAAAATCAATTTACATTTATATCGCGAGTTTATATAAATAGATGTTAATTAATATTGACAGGGAAGCTTATAAAATTCGAATAAATTATTCGAATATGTTCATAATGATGAACTTTTGTAAAATAATTTCTTAGTTAAAGGAAATTCGATGCGAGTTATCACATTAACTTTATATATAGATAAGTATAGAAGAATACAGAGAATCATTATCATGTTATTGAACATTTTTCTACCATCAATGGAATAAAAACTTATTGAATCAGACATTCGAAGAAAGGACTGAAGTCGACGATAATTGAACAGAGAATATGGTAATAAAAGGTAAGGAAAATTAATTATCGAAGAATAAAACACGTTTCAAACGAGCGAATTTTTTATTCCATTTTGTTTCCTGCTTTCTGTGTTATTTAGTAATCGATTCTTCGACAATTATCGTGGCCTTTCGTTATTCTACCTTTATTGTAACGTGGGAAACTTTAACGAGATGTTCGATCACGCAATTGTTCGCATTCTGCTGGCGTGTGGAAAGTAGAACCAGCGAACAAGTCTTGACTAAATCGGGGAAAGTTAATGAAACTATCCGCATGGATTGGGATCCTCATAGAAATTGGATCTTCCGACATACTTTATTTAATTTTTTAAAATACAATATAAATAAAATATGATCCTGAAAAAAATATTGGTTAATTGCAATTGAATTCCACCCACTACAAATAATGAAAAAAATATAGCTTTGTTCATAAAATTATTATTTATTTTCCCTCGTTACTTGTAAAGAAAAAATATAATTTCATGCTGAAAAATAAAAATAATTTCTAGTGTCGTGTATTAAATTAAATTTAATAATTTGTATTAAATTAATAGATGAAAATTTCTTCAACTTTATCTAAGATTTCCTTAATTTCAATTTAACCCTTTGCACTCGACGATCTTTTCGTTACAGAAAAATAGTAATTCGAAGACTTTCTGTCATAAAGTCAAGGATATTTTTAAAATGGCAAATAAGAAATCGGATGCAAATTAAGACGTAGAATTATTTTACTTCGACATTGCACGTATCGTTAGGTAATTTTGAATTTCATATATTAATTAACATCGATTCTTAAAATGCAATTAAATGGTGACTGAGAGGCGCCTCTCGAGTACAAAGGGTTGAAATATAAATCATCGAGTAGTCTACACTAGATTCCAAACTTAAATGCGAGTGAATTTGGATGGACAAGGCAAATTGGAATTTCGATACGTGCGCCAGCTAATTTTGCAAGGTCGTCTGGAAGAAATGAAACAACGAGACGTCGTTGAAAGAGCAAGTTCCTCGCTCGTGCGAAGTGTCACTCGAAACGGGGTTAGGCAGTGCAACGCGATAAGAAGTACAAACTCGATTAATCAGACGTCTCGGGTCGGAACTTTTATTAATCCAGTTAAAATCTGGCTGATGAAGAAACTTGCTTCGTTTGAACTTTGCTGCTTAATTAACGGAAAAATCAGCGATTCGCGTATTCGTGGATGAGCTGGGCGCGAGATTAGAAAAGGGATTAACAGAGCGTCCGGTGCGTCGAAGGGAATTTACGGGAGTTGAAACTGGCGAGCCACGAAATATTTACTAAAGACATATTTGCGGTGTGGCCGGGCAACGCGCTGCGAAGATACACCCATAAATTAACTTACTCGAAGTAATTGAGTAATACATCACCAGCCAGGATTTCATTAACCAAAGTAAATCATCCAAGGAAATTTCGTTTGCGGTGAAACTTTTGATTATACCCTGGGAACAAGCGTTCGAAAGTATACCAATCCGGCCGGGTAACAAACTTAATTAATCAACAACGAGGCAAAGTTTCTTCGAATGGTTCCCTTCTCTCGAAGAAGTAACAGTGTTGGGATATATAATGCTTGTAATCTTCTATTAAGAATATTCTTCATTCAAAGTTTCGCGCAGTCGTTTTTCATCCCTTTGTGCACGACTATTTCCAAATTCCATAAATTTAGAATGTTTTCCATTCCAGAATATCTCGAATTTTTTAAACTCAAGTGAATTTTTCAGAATATTTAAAGCTCATTTTAACCAACTGAATTTTTTAGAATATTTAGAATTTTTTAATTTCAATGAATTTTTTAGAATATTCATGATCTTTTTAATTCGTGGGAATGTTTTAGAATATTTGGAATTTTTTAATTCCCATGAATTTTTCAGAATATTTGGAATCTGTTTAATTCAAGCGAATTTTTTAGAATATTTAGAATTTTTTAATTCCGATGAATCTTTTAGAATATTCAGAAGCTTTTTAATTTAAGTCAGTTTTTAGAATATTTATTATTTTCTTTTATATTTCAATAATGTTTAATTCCAAATATAAATCTGAAAATTTTAAGTACTTGGTTTTTCTAATCGAATCAGTCGATCATTCCTCGATTTAGAATTTAAATCTTAATTACTTTCTACCTCGGTGATAAAATATCGATTACCCAGTGAAATCGATCATTATTTCCTTATTCATTCCACGGTTCAATTTAGCATGGTTGGATTATTTCCTAGTTCGATCGTCGTTGCTCCAGTTCGACTATTTCCAGCCATATCATTTTTCAATTTAGTTATTCATTATTTAGCCACCATTTTCATCAAACTGTTCAATCGATCTCTAATTCGATCGTTCAATATTTAATCGTTTTCCAGCGGAATCGAGCATCTCTCGATTATTCTGCCACGTGACAACCGAATTATCACGCAATTTCCCCTAACCTGATCAACGATCGTTACAATTACCGTTTCCGAAATCACCGAAACAAAGTTCGAGTTCTCATTCCGAGTTTCATTTCGAGTTTCAAACTGTTCGAGCAGGAAGAAAAGGGAAGTTTCGCGTAAATCGTACCAACTTCGCGATCCTTCCACGATGGATTCGTTAACCTGAACGAATCACTGCGAAACTTCTCGTTGCGTCGCAAGTGCTACGAAGGGTCGAAATTCAATCCGCTGACTGTGATCGCAAGTCCTCGAATAAATTAATGTTCGAAACCGTGCTGAAGCCAAGGTGGTTAACTCCGTTCTATAATTTTTTAAAAATCGACCCAATCGATTCGTGCTTAATTCTTTAAATTTAACAAAAATATATTCCTCCATTTTTCTTTCGTCGAATTAACCAATTTGCCAAACCGAGAACTCATATACCACATTCGTGGTACGTTACGAGATGATGTTACGATGCAAGGAAATTAATTTTCATTTCCTTTTTCCTCTTGTCACAGAGTGTATACTATATACTATATGAAAGCAATATAGTTTGTATAAAATAAATAAATTACGTTTCTAATATTTTTTAAAATATTTGTAAATCTAATTTAGTAAAATAAATTTTGCAAGTTAATACCATTACGTTTTCAATTATTTATAGAATAAAATATACGCAAAATTAAATAAATTTTACAAATTTTATGATGTTTTTCAGTATTTATAGAATAAATTACACGCATATTTATAGAGACAAAATTAAATAAATTTTACAAATTAATAATACGATGTTTTTCATTGATAAATTCAGAGATAAATATTATAAAAATACCGCAATGTATATTTCGAAATTGTTCAAAATTTCAGAAGAAAAAAATAATTAAAGTAAAACAAGTAAAACAAACATCGCGAATTTATAGAATTAACCCTTCCAAATATATTCTATATAATATAATATAATATAATATTAATATAATATAGAATATAATATAGAAAAACATATACTAATATTTATATACCTAAAATAGAGCGAATTTTACGAATGAGTAACACGACGTTCCTCATTAGCAATTACTATGCAAATCGATTAAAAGAGCGAAATAAATTTCTGCATGCCGGTTTAAAGCGTCGAATACTTCTGGGGCACGCGTTAATGGCTATTATCGATAGTCGAAGGTAGCAAATATGTATCGAACGGTTGTCGAATTGTAGAACATGATTCGGGGACACGTTCGGCTGCATCGGAGCCAGAGATAACGTAAGCGTGGAACGTGCTAATGGTGCCGCGACTGGCGAAACATTACGCGAATTGCGAAAAAAGCGAAAGAAGAATGAGCGGACCGCAATCTACGTTCGTAATCCGACATTAGAATGCCCACGTTCGGCATTGGAAAACAAAAGATACGAGCAGCACGCGTACTCGCCGTACCGAGCATCGTGTACCGTTACGAACACCGATGCAACGGGCTCACGGTGCCAGATACCTGCATTCCGAAAATTTCTCCGGCCCTGCAGCTGGAACGGGCATCTTGAAAAAGTTTCGCGAGGTTAATTTATCGGCCGTGCCGCCGGCTTAGATCGACTCGCGATTTAATCTAGAGTTGATCTGTGTACTTGCAGGCACGTGTTGAGGTTGCTAATTAATTTCCTGGTCATCGCGATGTTTCGCAAGCTTCCTGCGATTTTAATTGGTTTATCGCGCGAATTTTTAAATTCCTCCGGTATTGGGCTTGTTTCGAACAACCGCTACTTTCTAAAACTGTTGTGGCAAAATAGAATTAAATTGTGATTGAGATTAAACGAGAAATAAAAGTATCGAGGCAAGGTCGCTTTGAGCTTTGTTAATTTAATCTTTTCGTGTTCTATATTTTAT